TATGATCCCATTGTTAGAGCTTTGCGAGGGAGATAAATCGCGAGAAGTGCCACAACAGGTCAGGGAACAAGAGCTGCATGTACACTGCGCCTACAAGGGGTCCAATTCCATATTTCAGGAATCGAACCCCCACACTGCGACTGCCAGCAAGACGTGAAATAACCTCACTCCTATCCTTTGCACCACTAGACTATGCCTCGAGGGCATAAAAAAAAGCCTTAAATTATTTGTACAGTAAATGGTTTCACAGAATAGCTACAGATGTGAGATATGGGGTGGGCTTCACAGGTTTAAAATATTGTCTAAAAATACCATCCACCCTCGATGTTGTGTGTCTTCGGTAGAAGTTTTGTGAACCAATTTTCTGTACGTGTAATCTCTCTCGAAAAAGAAATTGAAGGGTGGAGGGGTTTGAATTATAAATTAAACTACTTTTCCCTCGTTTGGCCCCCGTTAAATTATATCCCATTACATTCTATTTTTCTTTTTTCTATTTTCAACCACACAATTTTTCATAAAATAATATTATACGTAAATCAAAAAATTTTCCTTCTTTTTCAATCTCTCATTTTTCAAAAAAACATTATTCCTCCCATTTTCATTACACAAAATGGGGGTCAAACATAGCTTTTATCAGAATTTTTTTGAGATAATAGTTGACATCCTCTCACAGTACGTGAACCTCTGGTTGGCCTCCAATTTTTCAAATTAAAATGGGTGGAATAATATTTTTTTAAATTAAAATTCAAATATATTTTAGGGTGGATTAGAATTCAAATTTAATTTAAATCAAAGACAATAGTTAATTTAAGCACATATTTTATGAGATTCACAATTTTCCAACCATATATTCTATTAAATTTTATCAAATCTACTAAAAATGTGATTGCAAACATGGATTAGCAATATTCATATTTCCACCAATAATAAAGATTTGCAAAACAAACAGAAGCTAGCGTGAGATTATAAAAGTCTTTTAAGTAATTGTGGCTTTTTCCTTGGACTAATCAAAAAGCATTTAGATTCGATTTGACCTATGCCTGCCCTGAACATCATGGGTCAAATCTCGTGCTTATCTCTTACTTTATTATGCACTTAATTAAACCAATGACCCAAACTCCCATGTTTTTATCTTTTATCCAATCGATTTCCAACTCGACTCTTCGCTCCTTTTTTTTTAAATTCATTTTCTTTTTCAAATTTATTTTTAAATACTTAAAACCTTACTCGGTGGGAATTAAAATCATTTTTAGGCTTTGTTTGATTCTTATTTTTCTCAAAATATATTTTTTATTTTTTTTTCAACTATACATTTTTCAATGAATTAATTTCACAAACGATCACTGAACTTACAGAAAAATTACAAAACGATCACTGAAGTTTAAAACTTTCAGTAACGGTCATTTAAGTATTGGGACGCTTTCAAAAATGGTCACCGAAGTTTAAAAATTTTTGAGCTACTTTTAGGGTAATTTTTCGACCACTTCCGACCACCGATACCACCTGATTTTAATACCGTTAGAAAGCCTAAAATGTCCTCTTTAATTACAATAAAAAATCTCTCTCAAACTCCAAAGGATTCGGCCGGAATAAACCCACAAAGTTGACTACCCGAAAAGGCAAAAATCTGCCCAAATTTTCAGATTTTTGGTGGACTTTTGCGGCGATTTTTTGACAATTTTCGACCACCAAAATAGCTAAATTTTGATACCGTTGGAAAGCCCACAATGTTCTCTTTAATTAGAATCTAAAATCTCCCAAAGACTCCAAAGGATTCGGCCGGAATAAACTCACAAAGTTGGCATCCCAGATTTTCGACTTTTTGGGATGTCCATTTTGCGGGTTTATTCCAGCCGAATCTTTTGGAGTTTGGGGGAGATTTTGGATGGTAATTGAAGAGAACATTGTGGGCTTTCCAATGATATCAAATTTTAACTATTTTGGTGGTCCAAAAAATCGCAGCAAAAGTCCACCAAAAATCTGAAAATCTGGGCAGATTTTCAGATTTTTTGGAGCGACTTTTGCGGTGATTTTTCGGTCGAATTCCTTGGTGTTACGGAGAGATTTTGAGTGGTAATTGAAGAGGACGTTGTTGGCTTTCCAACGGTATCAAAATTCGATGGCATTGATGGTTGGAAGTAGCCGAAAAATTGCCGCAAATGGAACAAAAAAACTAAAAAAGTGTTTTTCAATTTCAGTAACCATTTCAGAAATTTTTTAAACTTCAGTGGTCGTTTTTAAAAGCGTCTCAATATTTAAGTGATCGTTATTGAAAGTTTTAAACTTCAGTGACCGTTTTGTAATTTTTCTGTAAATTCAATAACCGTTTGTGAAATTAACCCATTTTTCAATAAGTTAATATTACACACATATTCAAAAAATTTTATTTATTTTTTAACCATACATTCTCTATCAATCTATTGTTTCAAAATGTATTTTTCCAATTTTATGGGTCTCAAACAAGAGTAAATTTTGATTAAAAAAACTGATGACATGTATAGTTAATAAGTTATGAATCTCATAAAATATATAAATAAATTTAATTATTTGACTCTTACTTAAATTAAAATTTTAATTTATACCTAATGGGAACCAAATAGGGAATTTCCTGACCTTTTATTTTAAAATGGTATCACGTTTAATGCCTACCGTACTACCAATTCGCGACACTTTTTTTCAATTAGTGCGTAATTATTCCAGTACTACCAAGTTGGGATGAAAAAGATAAATCTAGGATAATTCTTTTTTTTTTTATTAAATTGTTGTTCGAATCAGAGAATTATATTATTAAGTGGTTTAGATAATGTATTGAAAATACACAATAGACAAATCCTAAGCAAATCTAAACAAATATATGTAATCGACACATTTTGACATCCTAAATATATGATTATATCATCAACCCTGCTCCCAATCCCGGGTTGGGGATAGGGCACCACATGGCGCCCCTGTTCTCCCCTTGTCCCCAGTAGGGGACACGGGGCTTTGTTCTTATATCATTTACATATAATGTGGCGCCCCTATTTTCCCCTTGTACCCGGTAGTGGACACGGGGCTTTGTTCTTATATCATTTACATATATTCTAAACATTCTTCTCCTTCGAAAATTAATAAGGAATGTTGATTGGAAATCAATATGCATCATTAAACGACTAGTTTCATCAAAAATTAAACCCCCTTATGAAATTTCATTTTTTGAAATTTTTTATATAAACCAATATGAAACGTAAACAGTTTTTTTTTTTTTTTTCTCCTAATACAAATTCGATAATGGGTTGGCGCCAACCTAATTGGATTCGATGTGCTTGTCCGCCTATATTTGAATAAGATCAAAAATAGTATAATAAAATGTAAAAAAATAGAGTAAGGTGTATTAAATGAACATACTATTTAAAATGGAGTGTACAATAATTATGAGATTTAAGGTCCCCCAAAATCTTGAAGGAGGGACCTCTCTTGCCCTTTTAAATAATATAGGACTTCACGTGTGCTCTTGTCAACCTGCGTACTATGACTATGTCGGTCAAAGAGACAATTATCTACTCATAATCAAAATTAATTCAAAGCTTAAAACAAGATAATTTTAATTAATTGCTTACAAGAAAAGGCGAAACAACAATGCTATAGGGACAGCTCAAAAGTAGGGTAAAAAAAGGGTAAACACATGTTGAAGTATGATTAGACAACTTAAAAAATTAAAGAAAAAACCGTCAACTACTTTCTGTCAAATTAATCTGTTTCTGAATCCCTATTTTTTACCTTGTCTGAGTGACTTTATTCCGAGGTGAAAAAGAGACTTGTCACCTGATTTGCGAGTTTGGGTACTTGTCCTCTCTTTCTTTCCCATGAATTTAGCCCATGTTTGTCATTTATTAAAAATTTAGGGCCATTGTAAAGATGGAATTGAATTGCCTAAAAAACGAATTTCGGGGAATTGAATTGTCTAGAATTGTTTTCCTGAGAAATGTAAATTATTGTGTTTGATTGGTAAATTTTTCACGTAGAAAATGTTAAAATAAAAGTATTTTTTGATGTCCGTTTGACTTTGTTTTACATGAAAATTGTCAATTAAATGGATGAAATTTATTGGTATTGGAAATGAAATTTGTTTTCATTGCCAAAATCAAAAAAAAAAAATCATCTATCTTTGGGTATTTGTTTGACTTTGTTTTACATAGAAATTGTCAATTAAGAGGGTGTTTGGGAGATATTTTTATGTAAAAATGTATTTTTGAATAGTAAATTGATAGAAAATGTGTGGTTGAAAAATAAGGAAATTTTTTTGATTTACGTGTAATATTATTTTAATAAAGATGCGTGGTTGAAAAAAAGAAAGAAAAAAATGCATTTTTAAAAAAATGGCTACCAAACGGGGCTTAAATGAAAATATTTTTTTATAATAATTCTTAGAATTTGTTTCTATTATCAACAAAAAAAAAATTCCAAAAAAAAATTAAAAAACTTGCTACAGTGCCTGTAATTCCAATTCTCACCTATATGGTGAGAATTGGAATTCCATAAAAACCAGGAATTGCACAATTTTTAACAAAAACAAGAATTGATTTCCATTGAATTTAAAATGCTATCAAACAACTAAAAAAGGGAAAGGAAGGAATTGAAATTCCATGGAAATGAAATTTCATGCTATCAAACAGGCCCTAGTACAGGATTATTCTCCACCACATATTTATAAAATAAAATATTTTACACTTAACTATACATTCTCCAAAAAATATTATTCAATGCTCGTTATTACCAGATAAATTCTATCAAACAGGCCCTTAATTGATTTATAGGCTAACTTTATTTATTTTTATATCAAAGTCTAACGTTTGAATAAATAATTCATTTAAGTGGTACGTCAAACTTTAAACTCACCAATGTTTTTTTATCTGATATCTTACTGGACCACTCTATTAAAAAAAAATTAAGGATTAAAGTGTAGATGGTATATATCATTTAAACACCATTTTCAATATTAATTAATTGTTAACTAAATTTATCAGAATCTCTCTATAAACACACCTTCTAGTGCTTTCAATCTAAAATTTCTCCTCTCTCTCTCTCTCTAGATTTCTTATTGATGAGGGATGGAGTTGGGCTTAAGCTTAGGAGATGCATCAAAACCAGTTGGGTTCTTGACGAAGAACGGTGACTCAGAAAAGCATAAGAAAAACGGTTTTGGGTTCTTCGTGGAGTTGGGTCTCAACACAAATGGTGGAAATCAAGAACTTGCAGAGAAATCACATGAAAATGATGGTGGTGATGATGATCAGACTTCAGAAGATACAAGAGCTAACATGGAAAATACTCCGATTCAACTTGATCTTCTTCCTCGTTCTTCTGTTCCTTGTCAAACTCCATCTCAAATTCAACCCCGTCCATGGTCTTCTGATAATGGTGATAATTCATATTCCTGTTTGTAACCAAATATTTGAGGAAGATTGTGGCTTCTTTACTCTTTTTTCCTCATATTTTTTAAAGAAAAACTCTGATTTTAGTTTATTATGATTTTTTTTCTTCTTTCTGGTTCTTATTTTAACTTACCAGGAAGTTCAGAAAATGGTTCGATATCAGGCAACGTGGGGCTTGTAGCGGTGGTGAGGGATTTGGAGGTGAACAGGCTGCCGGCGGCGGCTACAGAGGAGGCGTCGTCGGCAAACAGTGTGGGATCACCCCTTCAGATGAATTTTGGCATATATGTAAATACTGGAAATGGAAATCTTGGAGCAAACGACGTAGTAGAGACGGAAAGAGTGTCTTCTAGAGCCAGTGATGACGATGAAAACTGCTCAAACACGAGAAAGAAACTCAGATTATCTAAAGAACAGGCTGCTTCTCTTGAAGAAAGCTTCAAAGAACACAGCACCCTTAATCCTGTAAGTATAAATTAGAGGGACTGATCCAATACAATACAAAAATAATTTTTTTTTTCTCTTTCAAATTTGTTCAATTTTCATTTGGATTATGCAGAAACAAAAGTTGGCACTTGCAAAACAGCTCAATCTTAGGCCCAGACAAGTTGAAGTCTGGTTTCAGAACAGAAGAGCGAGGTTTGTTTGGACTAAATTAGGTCTACCTCGACATGCTTCGGTTACTATGGGATTATTCATGCGTTTGTGTGTGAATTTATGCAGGACCAAGTTGAAGCAAACAGAAGTAGATTGTGAGTATTTGAAGAGGTGTTGTGAGACACTAACAGAAGAAAACAGAAAGCTACACAAGGAGTTGCAAGAATTGAGGGTTCTCAAGACTTCAAATCCATTCTACACACAACTTCCGGCCACCACCCTCACCATGTGCCCCTCTTGTGAACGCGTAGCCAGCACTTCCACCGCCGCTCCAGCCACCACCACCACAGCCAGTATTGACTCTACAACAAAACCCATAAATCCATTTCCTTTAACTAGACCAAGGTTTTATCCCTTCTCCCAAACACCACCACCTGCCCACCAACACCACCAATCTGCAGCCTCATGAATACAATGGAAAAACGTGAAGAATTTCTATGTGAATTGTGTAGATATACTGAAATTTGTTCTCATTTTGTTTGGCTTTAGATGGGTCTTTGTTTGATGTTTAAGGGTGTGGTGATCCACTTATGAACATTTTTTCAGATCATATTATGTGAATTTTTGTGGAAGAAAATACGAGTTAGAAAAATAGTAGTAAATATTTTTCCAATGAAAGGTGTAGTAGCCACCTCTTATTTTCGTTTTCTTCGAACATATATATAAATTACGAAAGAAATTATTCCAATTATGTTATGAATTTCTTTTATTCAGTTTTATTGAATAATTGTATTTTTACCTTCATTTACTTAAGAGCATTTTTTCAGCATATATCATATGTGAATTTTGTGGAAGAAAGTACAAGTTAGAAACATAGTAAACATTTTGGTAGCGAAAAGGTGTAGTAGCCGGCCCTTATTTTTATTTTCTTCGAACATATAAATTGCAAAAGAAATTATTACAAATATGTTGTCAATTTCTTTTATTCAGTTTCATTGAATAATTATCTTTTTTCCTCTAATTAATTTATTGTCGTTCTTATATCCTATATATTAGCTTTCAAATAATTTAAGTTAATTTTGAAATTATGAGTAATATATATGTTTTTAAACATGGGCTAAATATAAAAATGTAAGATTAGTTTAGCAATAGTTTTAGGGTTATTTGGTCGTATGTTTCGGGAAGCACTCGCACATAAAGTTCTCAATCTTTAGGGATTGAACAAGTTGGTCTTTAACGGTTTTTAGCAAAGGTAATCTTAACTTTTCATTTTTGTAGCAAGTTGGTGTCCGCTAGATGGTTTTTCTGCACGATGAATAAAAAGACATTTTTTTTTATAAATAAAAGTGATAACCATTGCCTTATTTCAAATAAAATGAGTTCCTTTCCCTTTACCAAAAGCGTGAGAAACCCCATCCCTCTCTTTTCTTTTTTCGTCCCCATGTCGTCACACGGGAACCATAAATTGTCAATATTGGGGTTATCATAGATATGTAGAATGGAACTCTCAACACATGAGGGAACGGAAAAAGGTGAGGAAGGGGGCGCAGGGGGAGAGAGGAGGCGGAAAATACAACCAGCCAAATAGATACGAGCTAGGAAGGAGAAATAGTTGCTAGGTGGAGATATACGAGGGACATGGAGAGAAAAAAGTGCAGGAGAGGAAGGAAGTCTGAGGTGCAAACTAAATGAAAATGGACGATACATGAAAATATACTAGTCACATACAGTTTAACGTCATTAATCTATGACAAGCTTGATATTAATGTTTAAAAATTTAAGGATGGAACTTTCAAAAACCTAACCAAAGATCAACTTCCTAAAATTTATTAGGTGAGGAATTATGGGTGCATTTTTCCAATGGATAAATTGGCTTGTCCCGGGGTTGAAGGCAAAACGTGTGCCAATTGGGTTCCCTCTTTTCAATGATTTCGTTCAAACCCCATTAATTGTGAATGAATCATCATTTATGTCAAACGACTAAGTGAATGGGGACAAAAGGTAGTGTATTCATGAAGATGTTTGCTAAAGTGTGATGTCTAGTGGTGCCCTTTTATAAACACCAATTATTATTCCACACAAACTAACATTTCTAGTTATTCAATTCTTTTCGTCTACTTTTTGCACCATTCTTTTGATATTTTCATATCTTATGACCAAAATTATAGTGTTAAAATATCTTACTAAACATGTCATGATAATAGTATTTGTATTATTGTATCGTATTAAATTTTATTATCCAGTTCAACGCATATATTAAAATAAATGAAAGATAACAAAGAAAAAGAATTGTTTATTTTTAATGTCCCTCAAGCACTATATTGATAAAATAAAAGAAAAAAGCACTTGACGCAATACTGCAGCTAACGCATACCTCTAAAGATTGTTGTTTCAGATCAGCGGAGAGTCAAAAGTCCAACGACTAGGGCGAAACTATAGAGTTATATAATTGTAAGGACGTGTTTGGTTAACCTTAAATTTCGAAAAAGTCTTAAATAAATCTTTTTTATAATTAGTTTTAAAAGTGTTCCTCGTTTAGTCGTTCTATCATCATTCTAAGTAATTTTTTTAGCTACGAAAAAGTAACTTCCAAAATAAAAAAAAAAAGTTACTTAATTAATTTTAAATATATCTAGACATGATTCAATTCCCACGTATGATCCTTGTCTTGTACAATGTGGGCTTCCATATCCAAAAGACAACCACTTGCCCATGATTAAGCCAACAAATTAGCACCAATTTATGATAAAGTGTCACATGCCACCCTATTTTAGTTCATGATAGGGTCACATAAAGTATGAATAGAATTTTGAAGATTTTAATAATCAACCGACCATGGACCCACCCCATTATCCTTATTGGGAATTAATCACTTAAATCCAAACTTCTATTGCATTATTTTTATTTAATCCAATGATTTGTCATACAATTTTGTTTGTCTCTCTCTCCTCACTTTTATTTCAATAAGCAATTTTGAATAGTAAACAACCATAATAACCAGCATAATTAATGATATCAACTTCATATCTTTTCTAGTTGGCTTTTAGTGTGCTTCTTTTCAACCATTGAATTCAAAAGATTACGTGTGTTGATTGTTATCCATTACGCGTTTGGTTGTGGAGAAAGTGCGTAAAAAATAGAATTTTAAAGAAATTAAAAAGGTAAAAGTTTTATTTGATAAAGTGCGATTTTTACCCCCTTTTGTCGTATGATTTACAATAATAATGTATCGTGTCACGTGACAAAAGCAAGGATTTACATCATCAAGCATGCTTGATTATTGTTAATAAAAAAGGAAACCCAAACATAAGTAATTTGTTAATTGATTTTATCTTAATAATTTATTATATAATTTTAAGCAACATGAGTAATAAAAAATCCACTAACAACCATATCTTAATGCGAATGTCATCTACTGCATGTGAAGTATTACCTATATTGAAGATATGAATATAAAAAGAAATTCTCTCCTTTAAAATCTTTAATTAGGATGGCAATAGAGTGAATTAAAAATTATCATTTTTTTTTTGTTCTGTTTACTTATTCATTTTGAAAATTATATTTAAACTTAAAAATAAAATTAAAAGAAAATAAGAAATGATAGTTCGGTTCGAGCATGGTGACTACACTAATTTTTCGTAAATAGACTACACTAAATTTAAATTAAAAATTTTTATTACTTATATTAAATTATTTTATTTAAAAAATATAACTTGTTCGAAAATGGTCAGGATGAAGCATGATGTAAATCGAGGGCCCGGGAGATGACATTTTTTATACTAAAAAGTAATTGGTGGTGCAGTTGAAAATTGAGGATTGACCAAACGACACATTTCAACCTTCATCTTATCCTTACAATCTTTTAAAATAATAATGATTTGAGGTACGAAATTGAGATTGTAACAAACTTCCATTACAAAAAAGGTGTGGTAGGTGGACTCATTCTGTGCATTTTTACAATAGTTTTCTTAATTATTTAAAATAAGAATTGTTATCTTAGCCTGTGCATGTCTTCATTATTTGCATCACTGGACCCTCAACTTTTTCACTTATTTTGAGTCAATTTCAACAATCTTCACCTTGACTTAAAATCTTTTAATCACGACACATCTTCACGTCCCTTTATAGGTAAGTTCCACTGTCGCCTATGATCAATTGTCATTGAGATGAACCGAATTTAAAGACTCATTAAACGTGACTCTATGATTTGACAATTTTCAACTTCGGTCATCTTTCTTCTTACTATTAGTCATATAACCCATCTTGGTCACATCACAATATGTGACAACACAGGAAGACCCTTCTTTATGCGTAATGTGATTATCACAATATGTGGCAACATAGGAAGACCCTTCTTTATGCGTAATGTGATTATCATAGCTCCACCTCCGTGTTACTCTACCGTCATAACTTTATCTATAACTTTTTGCCTTATGAGCCATACAAATTACCAACATTTTTGCCTTTCATTATCATCATCGAACTTTTCTTCACATTCATTAGCTAGCAAGTACAAAATATTCATAATTTAACAGATTTAACTACCTTAAGAATATCAAACTTCCCTTAATATTAGGATATTCATAACACCTCTCAATATTGCCCTGCTCCATCAAACATCTTCACCTTCATAGTTTCCATACCATTAACTTCAAATTTCTTATTTTCAGTCATCATAACCTTGCAAGAATCACATGACTTATAATCTTCAAACCACTCCTTATATGGGGCACATGTGGTACGAACATATCGATTCTAAAATCCAAGAGCTTATCGGGTTTTCATTATCAACAACAGGTATAATGTTATCTTCAAAATAACATTCATCATCAACCATGATTATCGAATCTGAAGCCTCTTGATTCCTCGTCGCTTCAAGGTGTTTCTTCAATACTTGGCAATTTCTTCTAATATGTCCATTTTTGTGACAATAGTAACATTTCACATCTTGTCTGAGATTGAGAACAAAGATCCTTTTTACCATTCAAACTATCAGTTGACTTCTTACTGTTAGTTGTCTCTAACAAAGCAGTCAAAACATCATTTACCATCAAAGTAAAATTTGCAACTAATAATGTGGTCGCCAATGTGCCATATGACTTAGGCAAGAAAGACAACAACATTATCACCTTATTTTCATCCTCAATCCTGACATCAACATTAAGTAACTTCGTCACCCACTTATTAATTTATTCAGATGATCCCTGACCTCGTTATTCTCATCCATCTTCAATTCATATAATTGATTCTTCGTATATTCCTTATTTGTTTGGAAGTTGGCATATGTGACTCTTCTAACGTTTCCATTACTTATAAATAAATTTCTCTTTCGAAACATTATACTTTACCTTGGATGCAAGAGTCAATCTGATGGTACCAAGTGTCTTCACTTTCAGTTCTTTCCAATCTACATCATTTATCCGTTTTGTCCTCTTACCCTCCAACACTTCGTAAAACCTTTGTCGCGCGAGAAAATATCTTGTATAGTACTACTATATATTGAAATTATTTTTTATCATCAAAATGTTGGGCATCAAACTTTACCCTTGTCATCATCTTCTATGCATAATATTTCAAAATTTAAACAGTGAACTCTGATACCACTTGTTGGGAAAAATCTCGAATGCAGCCAAAAAAAGAAAAAGGAGCACAAAAAGAAAAAAAAACCTATGATTTTAACGTGGTTTGGCATATCGTCAAAGACCATAGAAGAAATTTTTTTTATTAATTGAGAAAAACTCACAGTACAATATTTTCTTCACTATCACAATTCTCCTTAATGGAACCCAATTACAACGCGGACTTTGGACTAATTTCAACCTCTATAAATATAGAACATTAGATAACATTGCAACATTCTCTCATATTGTACAATACATTAATTATTGCAATCAATGATGGCCAACTACTCATTCTTTTGCTAGAAATCAAAAGGTAAGATACTAGAGCTCAATCATTTGAAGATTCAATCTTCATTTTTGAGTAAGGAAGAAAGGTGCAACTGGAGATTTAAGCCCTTGGTTTGATGGCCTTTAATTTAAAACTTATTTTTCTACATACTCATTTTCACCCACATATTCTCCAAAAATGTACTATTCAAAACGTTAAATTTTTTTTCCCAAATAATGGCCATCAAACAAGAGCTTATTAAGGAGGCTTGAAGAGATTCAAGAACCATGGCTTCTTTTCTTTTTCTTCATATGTCGAAAATTCTGGTGATATCTTACAAGCCAAATGCGAATTCTTGCAACTTTGTGATGCTAGGCTAGATTTTCAGTCGCTAAGACATAGATGAATCATTGTTATGAAGTTCTAAGATCAAATGCAATTCTTTGACGCTCAATACGTATTTATTATTGGATTATTGTTGTAGGTTTTAATGTTTTCCAATTACTTGATCAATAATTGGATTAATGTGTGATTTTCACAATTATCAAGAGAAATAATAGAAAATATATTATAAGAATTGTTATGAGGTCAGATAGAGGATAGAAATGTACTAGTATGACTTACATGATTTCAATAGTTGTTTTCGCTTTTTAATGCATGCTTCTATGTTCATATCTTTCATGGAAATATATGAAGGTCACATGAGAGGATGTGCTTAATTCTACTCAAGAGAAATTATTAAATGAATTAGAAACATTTGATCAACAAGAATAAGTAAATATTGTCACGGTGTTAAATTGTATTAAAGCGGATTAACAAGGGGGTTCGAAGTCTTAATGCATGTTTAACTGAATCTTACAAAAGCTTTCATGGTTGCTCATTAAAATAATTAGTTTAATTAGACAAAGAAATATAATTGAGAATCATGACGTGATTATTTAATTAGAGTTAGCATTAATAGATTGAATACACAATCTTCGTGGTACGATATCTTACTCATCATTATCTAGTAGCTCAAAACAATATAAGAATTCCAAAATTGATGTTCCCAAATGAGTTGCAATTTTGCAGAGACACGTCAAGGGATAAATTACTTATCAAATAAAATATAAAAAAAATAAACAACATATAAGTGGTCGGGATGTTGGAATTTTCTGATGTAGTGCAAATATTGACAAGGCTTTTACTTTGTTAAAAATAATAGATTATAACTTACCTATGTCCGGAGGCTCAATTACTTATTGTGACCATAACTAGACGATTGGCTTGGTTTACGTTGTGGGTTTGACCTCATGTTCTTTAGAATTAATAAATTTATGTCCATTAAATGAAGCTCCCGTTTGGCCCCCATTTTTTGGGAATGAGAATGAGTAGAATAGTATTTTTTTGGAAAATGAATGCTTGAAAAGGAAATAAAAGTTTTTCAATTTACGTGTAATATTATTTTATGGAAGATTATGTGGTTGAACATTAAAGAGAAAAAAATAAAATGTAATTTAATGGGGGCCAAACGGATACGTAATTCCATGTTATGGCTAGATCCTCTCTCATCTCTGAAAAAATCATAGGCATTTTCTGCTTGCCCCTCTAGAGTTTGGATAGTGTAATTAAAATCTGGTATAAGATATGTGCACGTCCATTCCATTTATCATTATTCATGTCTTCAAGAGGTAACCATTAATTAATAATTTCAATCTCTATAACTAATTTTCTCACTTTCAATGGGTTCTGGCTCTATAGTCAAGAAACATACCGAAGGCTTCGTGTTTTATATCGATGTGCATTACTAGTACATGAAAATCCCGAGTTTCAATGTAGTACGTTGTACATAGCACAACTCAGACAAGGAGAAGCTCAAGTCGTAATTGTTGTTTATTGTTTCAATTCTGATTCGATTTTGAGATTTATCCCTTTAAAATTGTAAGTGTCGTTTCAATTCTAATTCGATTTTGAGATTTATCACTAAAAAATTGTAAGTGCCCTTGTTTTTGCTGCATTCACATTACGTTGTTCATGATTGTAGCAATTGTTTGTCTATATGACTATATCATGATTTTGATAATTATGTAAGATCGGATAATGTTTAAAGTTGATTATTAGATGAACTATGTTTTATATAAATTTGAGAGACATTTTCAAGAGAAAAGCTTACAGCCGCACTTTCAAGTCCCGAAGTGGTCTCACCTCATTGGGTGAGGGTAGGCCAACCGATGAGATGATGGCTCCCCATTCAACGATTGCACCACGTAGGATGGTGTAACCGTCCCACCAAAGTTTTATCCATTTTCAGAACTCATTCTAAAACTTGAGATTATCAATTAAAGGGCATGACAATTAGAACAAGGTCGTTTTTAAAAGTTTCGACACGATAAAAAGATGTTAAATCGAACTTTTCTTTAATCATTCCAAGAGCCACTCCATTATGGTACGCACATAAGCAACGATTGACATGATCAAGCGTGCATGATTATTGTCAATGAATTTTTTATTGTCATAAAAGGTGATATTCTCAAGAATATGAATAACCTCATTTTATTAATAAATTTCTCTGTCAAAGAACTCATTTGACATGACTTTAAAAAGTCAAAAAGAATTTTTGAGACATAAAAGTAATTTTTTGATTAATTTTATTATAATATTTCTTTTAATTAAAAGAGCAACTCATTTAGAAATTAGTTTTTAAATATTAATTGTGATATATTATTCAAAAAACTCTTATACAAGATGTATGACAAAACTCTAAATCAAACATTATGTATTTATATAAAGCCCCTATTTAGTTTGGCTAAAAATCAAAAATTTAGTGAATTTTGATAAAAGTATAAAATTTGTTGTTGAAAATTTTGAAAAAAAGTTGTGACTCCATAAAATGTGTGGTTAAAAAATGATTTTAACAAAAAATAAATTTTAAAAAATTAAGCCCAAACATAAGCAAAGAATGGTTCTTGCTAAAAATACAAATATAAATAAATAAATAAAAATTTCCTCTTTTTAATGATTTAAATATTTAGACAAAATTATTCGATTTAGTAAAAAGTTTTGTATTCAACTCTTGCTATCATTTTATTATCAAAATTTCTACGTACAAGATCTTTTATGAAAAATAAATTCCCGTCGTTTTTTAAGGAGTGTTGAATAGCTAAATTCTTACTCTCGCTAACAGCTCAAGGTCTGTTTGATTGCAAGAATGAAATTTTGGTGGAAAGAAAATAAATACCAGAAAATTGAATTGCTTAAAACTTATTTTTACTGAAAATTATCAATTAAATGTATTTAATTGATATAATTTTTCACATGTAAAATGTTGAAATTTGAGATCTTTTGATATTCGTTTGATTTTATTTTTCATGAAAATTACCATAATTAAAGAGATATAGCTTGTTACAATTGTGAATAAAATTTGTTTTCATTGTCCAAAAAAAAACTCAATTCCTACCAAAACCAAAGGAAAATCAATTTCTTAGAAACCAGGAAAATGTGATCATGTGGGGGTTAACTGGAAAACTAATTCCATGAAAAATTTTGTCCATCAAACATACCGTTTGGGTGGAAAATGAAAATTTTCCATTTTCCATGAGAAAAATGCCTATCAAACAAATCCTTAAATTTATTAACAAAAAAAAAAAAAAGGATTATTATCATTAAACAATTATCGTTGACAATCTTCATTCTTATCCGTTCAACTTTTAGAATAACAAGGATTTGAGGTACAAATTTGACTTGCATCACAGAAGGTGTTTTGAGCGTGGCAGGCTCTCATTATAATATGCCACATTTTTTAAATACATTTTTCTTAAACTCATTTTCAATCATACATTTTAAAAAAAGTGCTACATAAACAGGCCAGACAAGCAAATCGAGGGGACACTAGTAAACAGGGCCATCTTGACCCTGTTTGAGAAGAACTATTCTACATTTTATAGAACCTACAACTTTTATTAATTTTTTTTAATTATACATTTCATCAATTTTTATCAAAATTAACTAAAATTTTGATTTATATATATCCCATCAAAATCAGACCAAGTCTGACCTTGCCCACCACCACAGAGACAAATTCTAATTTCCTCTCTAGAAGGAAAGGGATGAGAAATTGTCATTAATCCTACTAGTGTATAGGAGGATCGGGTTGCCCACATATGGGCCGACCAATCAATATAATCCATTTTAACATTTTGAGCCTCTGATTGAACCTTCCGATTTTCATTTCCACATCAAATTTACTGACCATTTTATGGGCAAATTGACACCAACTTGACACAATATAAATTTCAGAAACTATACAATTACAGATCAGGACCACGAGATAACGACACAAATTAAAAGCAAACGAAAAATCTCGAAATCTCGAGGCTCTAATCAGTGTTAAAGAACCAAAATACATGATGTGAAACATTGTGCTATCTTACTTTTTACCTGCATCTTAAATTGCCACTGATGTAAGATAGACGAGGTTTTTTCAGTTTGCCGCAGCAGAGTCACTTTTGAAGTGTTTGATCGACCACTGGGATTAAGAGAGGAGCGCGCCTGGTTTTGTATCTTGTAATTCGTTGGAGCCTTTCTTCTCTTAATCTGCATAGACGGCACCAATATCCAGTAAACAATATCATAAATGAGTAAGATATATGATACATATTAAGCAAATAAGACCAAGAAAATATAGTCAATTGAAGATGGTCTTGCAACTGCATTGCAGAAGTGATCAATATATTCAAATTCTGATTGATTCTAAAATAACAGAGATTGATTTCAAAAAAAAAATTCCTCAATTACAGCATGTCACAAACCCGCCACACAGGGACAATAATAACAGAATAATCTCCAGTTGTAGATTCCCACTTCTTGGCATGACATAGAAACATCTTAAAAACCTATTCAAACAAATTTTTCATGCAACTTTGAAAATTTATGATGCGAAATTGCAATTATTCATCAAATAGCACCTGCATTAGAGAGACAGCCTACATACTTATATGTAGCGCATGTTTGATACAAAAAAGTAGTCCAAAATATGGCCTCTAACTGAAGGCTTTGAACAAAGAATGTTTTTTCTGTTTCATTTTGGAATATGCCTCCAATGGCTTTCCTTGCAGGGAAAACAGCAACAAAATTACTTGTCATGAATAAGCAATAGTACACAACAAACCATTATTTTCAGAAAGAAAATTCGACATCAAACAACATCCCACCACTACTAAGGCCACAACAATATAATTAAGGAATTAATATTAAGAAGGATTTGCATCAAACATCATCCCACCAACAGTGGGGCCAGAACAATATAACCAAGGAATTTATGCAGTGCCGCACATACTGCAAATAAACAAGAATTCAATTGAAAGCTCTAAACAAACATGCAGACATCCACATTCATCCTCAACTGAAATTTAAATATGAAAAAGAAATAAAGAATTGGTGCATTCGAGCCCAAAATGTGAATGGGAGAGTCAAATTACCGTGACCGAACTCTCTTAGAATGCTTGACATATCTTTACAAGAGCTCCTTTGTAGATAAATGCTCAACAGATCCCTCATCCTGAAATTAAACACAAGCAATTGTACTTTGTCTCTTTGGTACAAAGGGAAATAAGTTGATGTTCAATGTGCACAGAAGCAGCAAATTTGGAACAAACTTGTAGAACTGTTAGTTATTACTATACATCCAGATCTTCAAAAACTAAAAGAAGAGGGAATCAACTAAACCACAGAACTAACTCACCATAGCTGGGATTTCCAATTTCAGATTTTCTCTGAAATTAATTATCATACCTCATGAAGCCCATATGCAAGTGTATTTACACATTACCCACGTTATCATTCAGAAAGTAGTGTATGAAGAGATTATTAGACTCTTAAACACAAGAACTTTTGAGGATTGTCCAGGTGAGTGGTGTGTATTTATATTCAACAAATTTGAATCTACAATTAATTTGACAAATTGCACGACACTTGCTATTATTTCACCCTTTCTTTGTACATTTTCCATACTTGAATACAAATGCAAGTCTCCTATTTATACTTATATTGTAGTAAGATCATTCTAGTAGAATGTGGGGTTAATTATTTCTATGTTGCATGTCAACACAATTTATCCGATTGCGACAAACCGTGTTCCCAAATGATCATTGAACTGTTATGATTGCATAAATATGCATGCAAATGGCTAATAAAAGACCACCCAGACATTAGAGTGAGTCTTTTTTGCTTTTTTTCTTTTTTTTCCAACAAATTCCAAGTGATATTTTTCTCCACAATTTAAGGGAATATATTAATAAGGTAATATCAGAAGACAAGGAAAAATCAATTCTTACTATGTTCATATCAATTCCAATGTGATTGTGCATGTGCATGTGGGAAGTTGGAGTTGTCAGGCATTACATGTGCACATACCATTACTTGTTACTTTTTTATTAAAGAAAGGATCGTGTTAACTATGTCAATAAGTTCTATAAAGTGAAGACTTTTCTTCAATGCTACGAGAGCATTATAAAATCCCGTCAATGGAAAATGGACGTGGCCTGAGGTTGATCCCTCCCAATCAAACCACCAGCTTGGTGTGTTCAGGAAAAAAGGTAGTAGACAAATTAAAAGAAGGGAACAACCTGAAGAGCAAGATCCTTCTCGGTCCAAATCCAAGTGAAGAGGGTTGGTCAGGTTGACGTGTAGTTTGTGATTTAGAAGGTCACAATAAGAGGTATCATATTAGAAGTGATGCACTGAGGTAAGTAATTGCTTGCATTTTTTAAACGAGAGGCACAAGTAATATTTCAAGAGAACAAAACTTCCAATTTGTACCTACACCAGGTTAGTTTGAAGAAATGTACAGTTTGTCAAGCAACGAACCAGCAATATGAATACATGGCAAGTCTGGAATAGACAAAGAAAAGGGAATTGAAAGTTCAGAAAATATGCAAGTTAATTAAGAAATACTTTTAAAAGTTCAGTGACGATGGAGAAACATCGATAGTTTTCACACCAGCTGTCTTTTTTTCCTCTCCTTTTCAAGTCTATCAATCTCAGGAAAATCTCTCTGTTGAGATTTTATCATATAATTTCATTTCTACCACCATTTGATTTTTCACTCTATATAACAAATTACCAAAGCCATAAGAATTTTATTGAATCTTCTAATAAGCTAGAAGGTAAGCCTCATTAAAGTTACTTCCTTCTACAGAGACAAATAGCCTATTATCAGAGAATATTATCCTTAAAATCTCCTTTTGATTTAAAAATCCATTTAGCCCCCGTTTGGCCCCCATTTTTCCAAATTAAAATGGGTGGAATAATATTTTTTTAGAGAATGAGTGGTTGAAAAAGGAAAAGTTTTCGGTTTACGTGTAATATTATTTTATGGAAGATTGTGTGATTAAAAATAGGAAAGAGAAAAATGAAATTTAATTTAATGGGGGCCAAATGGGGTATTAATTTCAACTGTCAAATGTCTATTGTATATAATTCAATCAATACTCAAATATGTTTTGTCCAAGGATGTCATCTAATGACTAACAGGATTCATAAATTATAATAGTTAATAAATACGCAACATAGTAATCCAAAATTACAGTTTTCTTCCTCTTAGAATGCAATGCAACACCTACCTTTACATGAACAATATTGATAATTATTTTACTCATCAGTAAAACCTTCTTAAATTCGTCAGTATAGGACCACATATCCACAGAGACTTATTACAATTTACCACAATAATTGTTTATTGTGGGGTTATGTGGTCATTTCTTGAATCCACAAGAAGTTGACTTTTGTGTAATCTTTCGTCCGAGTGGAATAACATAACTACATGTGGCCATAAGTAGGCTTTGTGACTCCTACACTCCTTGATATATGTATATTAAGTGTATATAAACTTACATATATTGTATCACGAACAAAGTCATCCCTACTAAAGCTAAATACATGAACTGTAACTAAATTTATGAACTTGTTATAATCAGCCCCCCAACCGTTTCATAGTATCACATAGAAACCATAAAATAAGTTGTAGATACTTCAGAGAACCCAAGGGAGGTTTGTGCACCAAGTTAGAGGTACTTTACAGAAAAATGTACATGTTCTTCCAATCTATTAACGATTGAACTTAAGGGTGACAGGGTGAGTACGATACTTAACCAGCCATAACTTGAGATATGTTACCATACTCCTGTCCTCATTTTGGGTAGGCAATTTCCATTAAAAAAAACCACTTTAATGCATCCAAGTATTTTCTTAGCATGAATATCTTTTTAATCATTATGAGAAGGTGTAAATTCCTGATTGAGGGCATAACATACTCGACGCAATCCCCTGAGGTACCAGAATAGATAAGTCCATACCATTCATATTATAAACAAATAATGATTGCCATGCAGACATTGTATTTCATTGCCTTGGTACCGCATCTCTCCGGGCTGCAATTCCTTATTACAAAGATACACTAGCATTAATTTCAAGCACCAACCTCATTTTCCTCTTCTTTATCTTCCCTTTTCCCAGTTGAATCAGAATCTAGTAGAGTTACAGGGAAAGGTCTGGGAAGAGACTTTACAGCATCCAAGTAGAGCGGCTGCAGAAGAAGAGTAAAAATTCATAAGAAGAACAGGGAAAATTATGGCTAGGATCCCTAGCCGATCCGAAATATAGCAAGTACAATTTTTTAGGAAGTGGGTCCCTAATGGACAGTTTGCATCTATTTTGGGTAAAATCACAAGTTGTCCTACTCTTATGTGTTGATTAAATTAATGAGCATATCTATCAACTTTTGTACATGTCATGTGCATATCACAACATAAATAAGTACAACTTATTATTTTTTAGGGACACGTATGGATCATGACTACTTATAGTTGTGTTTACACATGTAACAGCACATGTATCGTTTTTATGTTCAGTAACGATAATTGTACCATTCAGAAGTTTTTCCTTATATTTAATCTTTTTCAATTAAATAACCTCTATAACAGACTTCATAACGTATGTAACATAGAAAGGTTGACAATATCATAAAGAACGGTTGAAATGACATAGCTTTTATATTATCGAAACGGTGAAAGCACAAGTTATCCTACTCATATGCATCGATTAAGTTAATGAACATATTACTTAACCTTTGTACATTTCATGTTCATATTACAATGTAAACAAGTTTCACTTATTATTTATTGAGACACGAATGGGGCGTGATTGCAAGTATTCGCGTTTACAAATAAAACGATACAAAGGTTGTTTTCTTCTCAATAAAGGAACTTATGTCGTTTCATTGAATTCTCCAATATTTTGATTTATTTTCAAGACAAAGACATCAAGCATTGAACCATCTAACATAAGTAAAATGAAAAGGTTATTCACATGATAAAGAACGATTGAAATGACATAGATCATGTGATATCGAGTTGGTGAAAGCATAAGTTATTCTACTGGTTAATTAAAATATAAATAATAAGCACATCTCTTGGCTTTTGTAAATATCATGCTCATCTTACAACCTAAATGAGTTCAACTTATTGATTCTCGGAGCCGTGAACAGGACGTGGCCATTTTATAATCGTGTTTACAAACAAAACGACCCATGGGTCGTTTTCTTCTCAATAATGGCACTTGTGTCATTTTATTGATTTCTTCTATATTCTGATTTATTTTTAACTCAAGACCTCAAGCATTGGAACTACTAACGTGCGTAAGATAGAAAGGTTAATCACGTGACAAAGAATGATTTAAATGATTGGATCATATGATATTGATTTGACAAAAACATAAGTTATTCTACTAGTTCATTATAATATAATTAATGATCATATCTCTCAACTTTTATAAATATCATGTCCAACTTACAACCTAAATGAGTTTAACTTATTAGTTCTCTAAACATGGATAGGTCGTGGCTATGTATACTCGTCTTTATAGACAGAACGACACAAGTGTAAAGTCCTAAATTTTCGTGAAATAGAATTAAATTTTTATATGTTATATTTTAATATTTTGAAAAGTTAGGGACTAAGATGATACATAGCAAATTTCAATTTTATTTTGGTCAAATAATTAGATTTTGACCGAGCAACAATAAGTATATGAATATTGGGCTCGTTGGATAGATTGAAATTAGTGACACATATTAGACTCGAGAAAACGTTGATTTGGTTAAGCGATGCCCAAATTATCGAGGTCAAAAGATATGGTGCTAAATGGTTTTAATTAAGTTAAATTAATGAATCTATAAATTAAGGTGGGCACGTGTAGTGGTACTAATTGAATAATAATAATTAAAAAAAAAAGTTATATATATATATATATATATATATATA